CTTATGAATCTCAACAAAATGACTCTCCCTCCTCTGCCGATGAAGCTGAATCGAAAACCTCTCCTCCCAATACAGTGCAACCAAATAATTCACAGGATGGAAGGAAGAATAGGAAAAAAGGTATTTCGAACTTCTTATTTTCTCTATCACGGTACCTTAGGTACAAATCTATACGGAAGACCATATTGTCCTGGAAGACCGTTATCAATGGAGGAGAGAACGAGAATAATACAACTGCATAATGATGGAATGAAAGTTGGTTTCGATTGAATTTTGAGCCTGCCAGTTTCTCTGAATTTCAGGTGAATGCAATTTCAAAGTCTCTTTGTATTTCACATGGTTGTGTCAGCAAGATTATAAGTCGGTGAGTGTTCTGGAGCATCTATTTTAGAGATTCCCCTGAAAGTAGACTCTTTTCAGAGAAAGCGAAGAGTTTCGTCATTTTTATAGTAAGAATGTATATTCATGTGATGTTCTTGATTAGAACACTTTTTTGGGAACATGAATCGGATTTGATTGAACATTCAGAGAATAAAATGTCTGAGTGATGTTCTATGAATGAGAATGAAACAACCTACAAGTTTATTTTTATGGGGGTCAAGATGGAATAGATATGAAGTTTAGAAGTCTGCAAAAAACTAGTTAACAGAGAAACGTCTGAATTCGGAAATTCATATCAAATCAACAAACTCTTTTCAGAGATTGTAACTTTTAGACAACGTTCCATCACAAATAATTCCATTTCATTTGATCTCCTAGTATTCAGCTTGGATTTTGACAAACTAACTTTACATTTTTGAGAACGATACTTTCAGATTCCGAGCAACAGGCGTCTTGTTACCTGCATGCTCCCCAGAGCAACGGAAATCTCGAAAACGGAAATCTTCGATGGAAGGCTCACAGCTGGAGCAGAGCTTCATTCCGGTGTTTGTGGCGGTTAGTTCATATTTTATTGTGATTCCCATTGAATTTGAAACTGTTCGCCGAAAATAAGTAGGTTATAGGCTTCTAAGTGTCGAAAGTTATCAAAGTAATGTATAAGAAACAGTCTGCTTTTCGGTTTTGCAAAGTTTTACAATTTTTTCAAAGAACCTCGCTTTTTTTGGTAGTTCGATCACTTGTTCAGGTTGTTAGTTATTGGATTCCTCAGGAAAAAAATATTTAAACTTTCTTTATTCTCTGTCAGGCTGTTGTTTTCCTAAGCCATGCTTGATACTATTTTTGCGAAACCTGAGTCATATTTCGAGTATTTCGTTTCTCTTTCAGTTACAGTAGTCCAAATTTCTGATCTGCTATAAATGAAACCAAATACAAACCGATAGTAAAATGTCGAGAAAAATCATGAGATTCGCTTTCTATTTTTTCGAATTCTGGTTATGTGATCAAGCTATACACAAAAAGTGTGCGAAAATGTCCGAGAATAGCTTTGGACATCCTGATAAACAGCCAAAATTCGAAGAAGAAGGCTACAAAACTAGGTCTCTAATCTGACTTTGTCTGCATTCATCCTATTTGAAATTCTAGGGCCCTCAGAATGAAATGTATATTTTCAGATGCAGGATGCGAACGGAAATGAATATCTGAACGAGTATTACAGTATTCCAGTGTCACAAACCGACGGTTCAGGTTATGATTATCCAAACTCCCTGTGATTCATTTGTATTTTATTTGAATAAGATCTCATGTTCGTTTCTTTCACTTACTCTCTAGACAGGTCGATGTGTTTCCATTCTCATTTTGTATTAGTGTTAAAATCCAAAAAAGTAAAGTGTAGTCTCATTTTTATATCCTCTCTCACAACAACATGGAAAAGAAAATACATTTGTCAAAGAAAAAAAAACGAACAATTATTTGTCAGTTATTATTATTTTGGAAGAGGAAGGAAGGAAGGGAAAGGGATGGTTCTTGTATTTGAAAGAGGACCAAGATCAATTGGAAAAGTGAGAGAGAGAAAAGAATTGAATGTGGAAGAGAAAAAGAGAAAACAATTCGAGTTTAGGGGGTGGGGGAGGATCTCCATAATATACATATAGAGTCTGGTGCCAGCCAGACGTTTATTTTCAATTTTTGATGAATCGGAATATAATTAGGACGTTTTCCAGACCATCAAAAATATGTGTTTCAAGTGAAAATTATTATTTCTCAGAATATTCTACCCTACGCGACAAACTGGGAAACGACAAGTGTTTGAGATGATGATTGCTATCAAATTGATTGGGAGGAAGGATAAATAAAAGGGGGCGGGGCTTTCACTCGGAAACCACGTGGAATTGATCAACAAAACAATAAAAAGAAGCGGGAAGAAGAAAGGCTCAGCCTTGAATTATGAAAAACCTTGAATATTAAAAAAAAACTGTCAATTTTTTGGTTGAGAATGGGTTTAAGAAGTCTCTAGTTCAAATATTAAACGGGACAAAACAAGCTTGACGACTACGTTCCAAAAAGACAAAATGACTAGCGATTTTGGAAGGACTTTTCAAAGAAGCCGGGAAAGATATGGGGGGTTTTGTAGTTTTTCTGTGGGAATTTGAAACGAGATTAACAAAAAAAGATCAGAAGAGGAAGTGTGTTGGAGGTTTTTGTATAGAATTGAAATGGACAAGAATCGGGAAATGGAAAGAAAAGGAAACAATTGAGGACGCCTTGAATAATTAGGGGGAGAAATCATCCGGGATTCTTTGATGAAGGAGAGCTTTTGGGAGAAACTTTTTGTAACGGTATCGAAATAAGGCACACGATTTGCAAAGGGAACAAAGATGGGAAACAACAAAAAACAGATCTAATGAGATGGACGATTTCCAAGATGAATATCATCAAATGGTGGAGTAAAAGTGGATGCATTTGATGATGATGTACTTCCTGGAGCCATCATTGTATGTGGTCCATCTTGTTGTTTCGGAGAAGTAGGCTGAAAATAATCAAAAGTTAAAGTTGCCCGTCATATTGTTCTCAAAACTCACAAGTTCATAGATCAGGCTATCTTCAAAAACTGTATCTTTTGTTCCATCCATATATCTAATCATCAATTGATCAATTTCCACAACATTCTGTGAATTCGAAATGAACAATCCATCAATATTCATCAGAAGCTCATCATTCTTATCCATCTTGACTGATTCTGGAGTGTATGGAGCTGATCCAGATCTCATTGGTGGAATCTCATGTGGTGGCATCATTGGATGCATACCATGTGGATATCCAGGCATCATTGTCTGACGTGGTGATGACATATTCAACATGGATCCTGCTGATGCTGGATTCTGGAAAACAACTGCTGGAGTTCCCGGAGCCGTTGATCCAAGTTGAACCTTATTTGGAGATTGCATCGAGAATGATGGACTCTGAAGACGTGTCCAATCTGGTGGAACACTTCCTGGCATTGGCATTGGACTGAATGGAATGTTCCTTCCATGCATATCAGGGAAGACTCCTGGCTCCTGTTTCACCATCGTCTCCGATTTGATTCTCTTCATTGTGTGAGCTCCGCCACCATTATCCGAATTGTCGGCGGCCTTCTTCTTTCCACGCTTCGGCTTTGTATCCTCATGTTCTCCTGGACGAACTTGTGAATTCTTGTCAACGATGATTTCATTAATTCCAAGTGGAATGGAGGTAACAGCATTGAGAAGGAAGTAATCAATGTTAATGTCCTCGAATTTGAAGTAAACATTGCATGGTTGACAGTAATATCTCGTCTTTGATTTATTTTGACTTATCAAAGAGGCCAAATCGAAGCATACTTTCTTACAATCGTGGTGTCTTGCTGGTGTGAACATTCGCTTTTTGTTGAGCGAGCAGTTCAAATTGATAGGGATGAATCCAGCTTGACGTTTGGAGGCTTGGGCGGCATCTAGAAAGAAAATGGAATTAGTTTAAAAAAGGACGAGATTCGAAAAAAAGAATTGGGGGGAGGGAGGAATCGAACCCACACCCCCTGGCTGCTCATCAGTAGCGCTACCGACTGCGCCACGCGGCCCGAAGTTGTGGGCAGGTCTACTTGGCTATAAGCGCCGGGGGTTTTCATTTCTTATTTCGAAAAACAACAGTCTAAAACCAAAGAAAAGAAACTCACAAGCTGCGCGTTGATTCAAACCGAGTTGACCTGCTTCGGCCTGTCTCCTGTGAAGACACATCCTTCTCAACTCTGCCATTGTTCTCTTGGTGACGAATTCGCATGCATAGTTGTGCAACTGAAATATTATTTTTTTTTAAACAATTTCTACTTTTCGTTCAGAAATACAAACCTGTGTCATTGAATTATATCCGAATTGAATATGGTTTGTTCCAGCAATCAAATGTTGCTTGATTCCACATGATTTCAACGGACTCTGATCACTCATTACATGTTTTCCATTGACGAATACTTCGAATCGAACTTCCTGATCATTGGCTCCTTTGTGTGGTGACCATACAGAGAGAAGGACTTCCGAAGTATGATTTCTGAAACTGATTTTTATTAGAATCTAAATTCTCTAATGTACACTTACGTTCTCAAGAATTCATATGAATCTGGAGTGATCGGAACCTCAATACCATTCGATCCACTCAAAATTGGTCCTTCAGAAATCAAATCTCTTTCGATATGCAATCCAACAGTATTCTCATAAAGTGGTTGAACTTCCGGATGAATGATAGGTCTTTGTGGTTGAGCTGGATTCGGGTGAGCCGTCACTGCATACGGTTGACCGTGTGCCATTTGACCGTATACGGAAACGGGCGGCGCTCTCATCTGAAATTATATCTTTGTCATTGTTATCAAAAAGTTCTTATCAGCTTTCTATTTCTCTTTTTTTACTTTACTAATTGGTGTCAGACCTACACTCTTTTGGAGAACAAAGAAAGGCTTAACAATAAGGAGGCGGAGCTTAGAAAGTGATAAAAAAAGACAAAGAAAATGATAAAAAACGTACCATTTGTCCATATTGCATCTGTGGATGTTGTGCCATTTGTGGATGTCCAGGTGGATATTGAACCGGCATTCTCATCATCCCATTTGCACCGCTGAAACTAGACGAAAAATCATTAAGTGTTGGAAACTTTCAATTTTTAACGGTAAAAATCCCCTAATCACGCCTGCTCTTATATTAAAAGTGCTCTTTTATAAGAGGTATTTATTAAAGGATTTTTTTTCAAAAGTTTTTCAAAAAATCCAATCGGATTTCAGCAAAACGCGCTCAAATGAAACGAAAAATGCAGCGCGAAATCCTAAAATGCATTTATTTTTCGTCTTGTCCAGTAGAGCGCACTTTCTCACTTCAGTGGTATTTACGATGTGGAAGCGGCGCGTGGCAATACGTCGCCGCGGAAAGTGTTTTGTTTATGTTTTTTCGAAAGAAATCAATGAATTTATGATTGGGAAGAGGAGGAACCCAGAATTGAACGATAGGGTATCGGATTGGCTTATATTGAGAAGAAGACAATAGGAAACTCTAATTGAGAATCTAGACGAGTATCCATGTTCTAGAATCTCCCAAAAAGTATAAAAACTTACGGATTCTGTCCCATTGGCATTTGAGTATAATCTGGCATCATTCCTTGTGGAGGCCGTCCAGCAGCTTGGGCTTGTGCGGCAGCGACTGCAGCAGCTCGATTCGCAGCAGCCATTCGTTGATCGTACATATGCTGATTTCCTTCCAATTGACCATAAGGCAATTGCATCTGTCCTCCAGGATAGCCTGTCATTGCTGGATTCATACCCGGTGGATTCATTTGTCCCGGATAGGGAGCAGGCATGGCGCCAGCACCGGGTGGTGGCATATGACCGGCTGAAGAGCCCGGTTGACTCATGGGGATCCCATTGTGGGCCCACATTGATCTGGAAAAATGAACAGTAAGTTATGAGAATAAGCTGGGAAGAGTAGTAAAAATACAAAAAAGTTATAATCAATATGTATGTCTTTGTGTGTGTGGATGAGTGAGGGGCAAGGTGTGACCCTTGTTGCCTACTCCGTCAAAAAGGCATCACTATTACAAAATTACTTCTGGGAAAGAAACGGTCAGATAAAAGAGCGGCTAAGAAGAACACCTAGATTATTACCCTTTTGAAGTCATGAATCCTTATTTGACCTGGCGGAGAGGGGCAATCTTCGGTGAAATTGAAAAAATGCGGGAGAAAGATAAAGGTCAGAATTGATTTCCAAAAAGGGAGAGGTCAAAAATCCGGGAGAACGTTGGAAAGTTTTTTGAAGCGGGCCTAGAATTGGTTGGTCTAATACCATACACGCCAAAACGTTGAGATTTTTAAGCCAATTCTCAAAATTGGAGTTTCTCTTTTTAGATTCTTTTTAGGCCCTAATTTGAGTCTTTCTTAGCTTCATTCCCCCTATTTTCAGAGTTTTTCATGCTACCGTATCCTACTGGATTCTGGAATAAAAACGCAAAGAATTTCCAGAAAGTGAAAAAAAAAGAAAACCGAATGACTGACACACACATATCTTTCTTTTCTCTCTCCTACAGCTCCAAAGGACACAACTAGGTCAGTAGTGCATGCGAGTGTTCTCCTAGCTCCGCCCTTCAAATGCCCTTGGAGAGTGGAAAAGAAGAAGCAGAAATGAGAAGAAGCAGAGTGGAGGAGAAGGCGGGGGCAAGGAAAAAAATGACTGCATCCAGGTGAAATATCAAAAAAGGATTAAGAAGGTGATAGGATGTAAAAGTAGAAGAAAGGGGGATAGTAGCAGAAAGAAGAAGAAGAAGAAGGCGATGATGATGATGATGAACAAGAAGGAGGAGGCGGAGAGATGCAGACAAACAGACGGTATTCTTCACTCCGATCCAAAAGAGAGACGTTGCTTGCGCACACCACGGCCGGCCGCATTGCCTCTTCCCTTCCCTATTCGCCTCTCCTCTACACTAACTCAGACGACACACAGACAACCAACACATACAGCAGAAAAGAGACTCCCCCCTTAGACACTATTCTTTCTCTAAACTCTCCACTATCTCGTCTCTCTCGGCCCGTCCTCTCTACACTTTTACCCTCCCTAAAACATTGAGAGAACAGAGTAAAAGAGAGAAAAGGCCCTTCTTCTACTACCACCCCAAACCACCACCACCATCCAACACATCGACATACGTGCGGCCGGGACATTGAAGAAGAAGAATAAGAGAAGAAGAAGAAGAAGTAGAAGAGGAAGACACTCCGGACAAGCGGACGGCAGGGTGTCTTGGTATGGGCGTCGTGCCTTTTCCTTGCTTCTTCTTCTTCTTCTACTTCTAGGACAGAATAGCAAAAGAAGAACAAGAAGAGAGATGCTCTTTTCTGGAGAAAAGTGCAAATGTGCATCTCGTGATACCGTTTTGCTCATTTTGGGATCCAAGAAGAAGGAGGAATTCAGAAAGAAGAGGCGAAAAATCCAGAAAAGAGCCTGTAAATAGAGGAGAGGCTGCACATAGAGGGCTGCTGGATGGATCACATGGGTCAGTTAAAGACAGAGAACACATGGCGAATAGACAGGTCAATGTTCATCAATATTAATGTT